TCAGGAAGTTTCTCCAGGCGGTATTGGGGGGCGATAAATGATAGCAAATATGGTTGGTTGCAAGCCACCAAGTTTAGTGAGAACTTTGAAGGAGGTAAATTCATCAGGGTGTACATGGTGACATTTAAAGTTTTTCCTATGCACACTCACTAGGCCACCACCACTAGAGTCAGTGGTCGATTGAGGAGGACACAGTTCAGCCAGATGGCTATTTTCAATATTTTGCAACCAGGATTCATTTAAAACCATAAAATCTAGATTTGCAGACAAAATAAAATCATTAAAACAAAAGTCGTTCTTGAAAGTGAAAGTAGTAAGGATGACATGTCCATGCATTATGGTTACAGGAATATCAAAAGTCTTTGGAACTGCACAAGGAGTGGATGGCTTTTACATGCCAGCAGGTGGAGCTAGAGGACGAGTAGGTAATTGTCAGTGGCAGTGAGTTCTGTCCAGTGACCGTTGGTGTGTCCAGATGTGCTGCATAAATGATTAGTAATTTATGTGATGAGAAGTAGGCTACATAGCATACCACTTGATAAAATATTTTTACATCCTGACTTGTTCCATGGGGATTGCAGCTGAAATGAAGTTATTCTTAACACAATAGCAATAAATAATACAATAGTTGATACAGCGAGCCCTGCAAGCTCGGTGATTTTAGGGAGAAGATCTTAATTAAATAATGGGCCAGTTTTTGAGATGTAGCCCATCTGCATGGCTGTAACCAGCTATGAGGTCACCGACGTCCGGACCTCCGTAATTATATAGGCTGAAGCCTATCAATAAAATAATTCGAATAAAAACCATTGAACACGATCAACTTAAATGAAGGCTCTGGGACCATGCGGGCGCAGCTGATAATTCCATCTTTACCCTCATTTCAACTTGAAAAATTTATGAAAACACATGAAAACCTTGTGTACGCAATAACTGAGAGCACCACTGTTTGTAGAGCTTTTGGCGATCGTTTTGTCAATTTGAGACAAATTCAATAAGACAAAAGAAACAAAAATAGATGCCACACTATAATATGCTTAAAAAACAGGTAGTGATATTGAAGTGAAGTGGGCTGGTACTCAACAGTATGCAATACCAGCACTTCTATATTTTACTCTTTGGCGTACCGGGACTTTTTCTTGCGCTCCAGCACTTCAAAAGCTGCCCGTACACTTCTCTGCCCTCTCCACCGGCAGAGACGGAGTATGGAAAAGATCGAGTGCCGATACACACACCAACATGTGAACTATAAATGAAAGGGGAGTACTGGTCACAGTGCTGACAAATGGATTCTGGTAACCCTTAAGTTCAGGCTTGGTGGGCCCAGACTGCATAGGGCACTCTGTAAAATATTAAAATCAAGAAAGTCCCTAGTTGTATTTATAGAGGATGGTTGTGACACTTTTTAAAGTGTTAAAACCCACCCCACCCCTGTTAACCAATGTTTAGCTAACTGTATTAGCATAGTGGTTTGAAATTAGAAAGGAAAACCACGTTTCCTGAGAAAACATTAATAAAACAATTCTATCTGCAATAGTACATGTACTAAATAAAATATAGTCTTGGTCAAAAATATTACTTTCTGACCTCAAAATCTCTCGATATATTCTGAATGTGCCTGTTTCCAGACTTGATAACCACCATGCCTGATCGGGGAGGAAGTAGGTAAATACTGAAATGATCACATAAATAATAAATCTTATCCCTAACAACTCTTACAACTCCCACCATGTTACAACCATACCCGGTCTCCCCTATACCAAGATCTCCCTGTTCGCACTACCTGATAATAGCTTGTGTGTCTATATCTTTTATTTTATGCAATTTTAGTGAGCCAAGCAGTGGAGAGAAAGACCATGAACAGCCTGTAGTTAGTGAGTCCACTGTGTGGGTTAAGCCTTCACTGCACACGGACACACACACACACACACACAAGAAGAGAGCATAATTTAGCTTTAATAGAAGTATTTTTTGCCAACAGGTCTCTCTGTATGCATTTCCTTAGAGCATTAGTTTGTGTGACTAGTGTATAACTTTTGTTTGTGTTTACGTGTATTTTTTTGGTATGAATTACAGTAAATAAACTAAATTAAAAACACAAATAAACTGGACATCACTCATTTCAAAAATCTTGTTACAGCCCTGCCCCTGTAGGCTGTTGAATTACAGTTTTTCTTGATTGCTTAAACACATTTCTTGAAATTATGTCTCTTTTTCTGAAAACTCTGAACACAAATCCAAAACTTCTCACCCAATTCCCCAAACATTCTATTTTCAGGTCAAAATGAAGCTCTCCACTCAAAACCATTCAAACCTTGCCCTCAGACATAACACACAAGCCCTCAAAAACACACACTACAACACAGTCTTACACACTGGTGAGATAAATTCTACAAAAACTGGTTATTGGTTATGTTGCTTGTGGTTCTCCCCCTCAAAAACCTTTTCACATGATGAACACGACAAAGGCCAGAAAAACACCAGTCTGCACAGAGGATTTTAAAGTACTCAAGCAGAGCAGAACCTACAGTTCAGGAATCTGCAGCAGGATGTCATCTTATATCCTGGAAAATTCTAGCAATAATCAGACTGAGTTCCTTCAAACTAAGCCAAATCCACAGGTAAAAGTTGTCATTACATTACAATGTGTTGAGTTCAGCTTAATGACCATAATTGCTGAATAATAAGTTGTGCTCATTGGTATAATTTGGACATTTCAGATAAAGATAGCACAGAATTGTGCTTCACAGTCAGTATAATACTTTACCTTTTCATGTAATGATTTAATGATTTTAAGTGTAATGAGAGCTGTGGAAAACATTGGCATGTACGTCAGCAAATTCCACTCCACTTGCCAGCAAACAAAATGTGTCTTCTGAGAGACTTGGTAGGTGACACATGTTAATGAGCCACGATAAATGCAAGGTTGTTAGTTGAGCAGAGGTTTGGGTAATTTTGTCAATCTGGAATTGCAGTCAGTCACTCTGTAAGACTCTGTGCTGTATGGAAACAATGCTGTGTTTTGTGTTCTCCAAAAACCTCATCTTAACATGATTCCCCATAAAGTGAGAACATACAAATTTACTACATACAAAAAAAGTACTGTACATGAGCACAGTTCCGACATGCTCACCCTGAATGTTCTCTGTGTTTTACTTACAACATATTTATTTTACAGCTGTAGCTAGTGGAAGATTCAGATTTTACACACTAAACAATATAATAATTTTTATTTATGAAGTACTTTTCATAAGCCATGCTATAAACGGCTTTCACAAGTGCAAAGACAATAAAACACACATAAAACCAATAAGAGATAATAACCTATAAAATACAATGCTTGTTATGGATGAAAAACTACCCAACAACAATTTACAAAGTAGTTCCCATCTAAAATTACACAAAAACACTTCTAGACTTTTTTTGGCACACATCCAGCAGACATGGTGCAATATTACCATTCATTCAGTCTAATATTCACTCTCCTTTTAGCTCTGGGTTAGTCTCCAACAACTTCTGAGAAAGAGATCTGGCTCTATAGCTGGTAACTGCACTAGGGTTCACCAGCTAGTCTCTGACTGTGTCTGTGTGCAGATTGGTGCTGGACAGTTTACAATGGGTTTATCAGAGCTGATTTACTGAAGCTGTCTGCTGCTGCTGGAAGCTAGAACTTTGAGTTATAGGAGGCTAAAGAGCTGAGAAGAACTGAAGAGTTGGTGCTAATTCTTCGTTACTAGTGACCCCTTTCACATTATACACAGTGATCAGAGGGGAACCAGAGAGATGGGTGGAATACACAATTGAGCTCAGGAAAGCTGAGACAGATCAAACTGTATAACAACATGAACTGTTTACAGGTACGCTGTAAAACGTGTAAACAAATGTGCCCTGGGGAGTTTCAAAATATCAACAGTGAAAGACAATTTTGGAGTAAGGAAACAATCATTGTGTCATCAAAATATGGCTGGATCTACCTCTTACATGTAGAAGCAGTGTGTTTAGACCTTTTTTAAAAGAATCAGAATCAGAAGGAGCTTTATTACCTAGTAGTGTTTTGCACATATGAGAAATTTGCTGTGGTGATAAGGTGCTACACGTAGACAAACATACAGTCAACATAAATAAATGTGGAAATATATAAATATGGAAATGAAGAACAACGTTACAGATATAAACATTGTTTAAAAGCACAAGTGCACGGAACACTGAGCATGCAGGTGGACAGCAGAGGGGGTTTACTAAGCATGTGTTGACTGAGAACTTCTATGTGGATGTTATTTCTGTCACAAAACAGAATAGTTTGAGCATTAAGCAATATCCTGCATGCTGGAGAAATTTTCTGCTCTGATTTATGGTGGAAATGTCTTTATTCATATAAAGGGAAACATGAAATTCAGGTGGCAGGTGACAATTCAAAATCTAAAAATATATTGAAATAGAATGCAATAATTAGTAGTATTAGTTGAGTCTATATTTAAATTGCATTGCATGTTTTCGTATTGTGCAAATAAACATTTCTCAACGCATTTTCATTTGTTAAGAAACATTTCTTGTTGCAAGCTATTGTTGTAAATGTTGGGGCAAAATCAGACATTTCAAGAAGTGGTGGGTACATGTCCACAGCGTCCCCAGTGTAAATGACACCTATGGAGGAAAATATATAACCTGATGTGAAACAACTTACCTCAGCAGTCATTATGACCTAAATAGGCTACATCATCTATTTGGTTGAACACTTTGGCATTACTTGGAGTTAGAATGTTCTAACCAGCTCTTATATGTGCATCAAGAATAAATGCATCTTAGAAAAACACGAAATAAAGTTGTGTATTTTGTTAGTTTTTTCAGTCCTGCAGAACCGAAATTCCCACATATTAACTGGTGCCATGTTGAAGTGGCTCATTGTGAACCCGACAGCAGTGTAGCTTTAAGAAGGAGGTGGGCAGCGCTCCGATGACGCAGGAATAATCCTGAAAAGATGCTTCAAAACTCCAGGCCGGAGCCAGTGTGTGTGGTGGCTGCTGGCAGAGCTGGGAGACTCGCCGAACCTAGCAGGAGCAACTGTTGAGAGAATATTTTGAGCAGGTTCAGGTGCCTTCGGGGGAACTCTCAGTGCAGAATTAAACACAGATACGCTTCTTACTTCGTAAGACATAGCCTACAGTTATTTACCATTTAAGCCATTTACTCACAGCGGAGGATTTTTTTGCAGCTATATGTACACTGCCAAGTGGAGCCAACTTGGGTAAAGAAACATTTGAAGAACATCTCTCCAAAAGGCGACTTTGGCATTCATCTGAAGTGGCATCATGCTGTATTTCAGCGCACTGTGTGTGTACTTTCTGATGGTCCCGAACCCAGTTATGACAAACACCATTACCGAGGACATAGATGTTTTGGTATTTTTGCCACAGAATAACTCCTACCTTTTTTCATATACAAGAGTCTCACCAGCGATCCGTTACGCTCAACAGAGGCTGAAGACAGATGGAGGACAGTCCTCAGGGTTCCGCTTCAACATCCAGTTTGAAAACTCTGACTGTGTCTATGATGCTCTGTTTAAGTTAGTGGACAGGTCGTGTGGGAGAAAGCCGGATCTAATACTGGGTCCAGTGTGCGAGTACGAGGCGGCGGCGGTGGTGAGGCTGGCGTCCCACTGGAACATCCCGGTGATCACAGCAGGTGCCCTGGCCACCGGCTTCAGCAATAAGAACACAGAATTCTCCCACTTGACTCGCATTGCCCCGTCCTACGTGAAGATGGCAGAGACCTTCACCGCGATGTTTGAGCACTTCGCCTGGAAGAAGGCGCTGCTGGTCTACGAAGACGACAAGGAGGAGCGGAACTGTTACTTCACTTTGGAGGGAGTCTATCATCTGATGGCTGACTTCACCATTAAACCATATCCTTTTTCTAAGGAGGATCCCTTGGACACTGACGACATCCTCCAAAACATAGCTGATACTGAAGGTAATGCAGTTTCCAATAGCCGTTTGCATCAGATCAAATTTATATAAACTAGCCTACTTAAATAACACCAACAAGTCATTTAACAAGTCACCAAATCATCAAATCACGTGTCGGGGTTGATATTTTGACAGTGTAATTTGTCACACGTCAGCATCAGTCACTTCCACATTTAAAAGGAGACTCATCAAAGGTGAAAAGTGATTTAGATTTTTCACGTAGGCCTATTAGTAGACAGCATCATGCACTAGCCTATATAAAACTGTGGGCTTCACTTGTCGAATTATTCAATTAATCCAAAGTAAATTACTGTCATGAGTCCATTTATAGGTTTGATCATCAAACTGTAACCTGCAAACTAATTTATTGCTTTTATGCCTTTAGGCATTAAATTCGGGCTGCAATTAACATCATTTTTAATATGGATTCATCTGACCAATATTTTCTCAATGTGAGAAATGACCATCACCAGTTCCTAAGCTAAGGTGACATCTTCAAAATGCTTGTTGTGTACAACCAGCAAGAATGTCTTACAATAATACCCTCTTGACCAAATACAGCCTACATTAAAGGAGATATTATTTCCTCATTCTAGTTGTTGGTTTAAAGTTCAGCGATATTCAAGTGTGTACATTCCAAAGGAAGTATTTTTAGTATCAAATTCCATTTCTGTGTAACTATCCCTCCACTGCAGCTCTTCAAGTAAACTCTATCCAGGGAAACACAGAGAGAATATCCCATAGAACAAATTCACTTTGGAACATAAGTGACATTACATAAATAATGAATTGTCTTGCACATAATTGCTGATGACTTTTCCGTCGGATGACAAATCGATCAACAAAATGTTTCTCTGTTAGACAAAATAAGCAATTTAAAGATTTTACTTTGGGAAATCATAATAATTAGCCTTTTTTTATAGCTTTAGACTAAATGAATAATAGAAAATGTTGATAGGTTAATAACAGCTCATCCCTCATGTAGCAGAAGCTGTCACTGAGCAGAAAACTGGTGACAGCCATCTGGGTTTGTGTTTGTCCTCACCCCACCCTTCATTATTCAGACAGACTTACATAACGTCCTGTGTGCTGTTGGCATGGAACGTCATCTTACGTCTACAGACGGCAGAGATGAGCCACATGGGTTAGCTGCTTGAAATTGTTTAGAGGCCTTTGGAATTGGCAGACAGACAGTAAGTGAGCAAAACAGGACGTCCATATGTGGCCTAAAGCTGTGAGTGATTCTTACTGTCATGTCATACCTTAAAACACATTGTTTTTATCTGCACTGTTTTCAGGACAATCTCTCAGATGGGCTAGACATTTCTGAGGAATATAATTTGTTAATTAAAATAAATGGTTCATGGGTAGTTTCATGAGCTTTCCAATGATAATCCCTGACATTTAAA